CCTGCTGAAATTGCAATGTGTATACATCTTCATCATGACTAGATAGACACGGTGAGTTTGTCTTTACTATACATGTTAGATGTGATCCACCTCATAGTAACAATCCTGTCAGATCGTCCATCCTTTGAGTGAGAGTGTAACCTTACAGGTCGGCCGATCTGGTTTTGTGGTTAAAGTTAACCTTTTCGACATGTTTCCGTGTAGTTGTTGCTAAGTCAGCAATGGCATGGACGCGATGTTGTCTGGGGGTTTGGCAAAAGGAGAGTGGGACGGTGGGCGGTGCTCTGGGTGGTGACTGAAGGCGGTGACTGTAGTTCTGACATCAACTTTTTACGGAAGTCACAACGGTTCGCGAAAAATCACAGCTACTTTATGCAGGTTGTGTGCATTTTACTGTGGACTGACTGTTTTGAAACTTATATGGTAGTTAAATAGCCCCCTAGACCTCAGTTATCCTGAAAAAAGCCAGGAAATTTCAGTTTTGACAATATGGGACCTTTAACAACTAGTTTAGCCTACTGAGTAGGCTACTACATCTTGCACCTGTAAAATAGTGCACCCTATCGTTTTCTGTGGGTTTCTCTTGATAACGAAGTTTCTGCACTTAGCATTTCTGCAGAAAGTTATTTCAGAAATGATAACTGTGTGAACAAATAAATTAATGAAAGGCAGGTAGGCCTACCTATTAATTCGATATCAATAACTTTTCATCACGCTGTCATTCGTGAAAATGGAGAGGAGACACAAAAACATACAGTAGGCTATGCCAAATAGTCAGATAGGCCTGCTGGACTTGTGATCAATAGTTTCTTGTATTAATACAATTATATTAAATTAAATACAAGTATTGCACACTATACTTTAAATAATATAAAAACACTGTAATAAGTATTTTAGACACTATTTCGCTCCACGCTACGACGTAAAACTAGCCTACACCACCTTATTTACGCAAGCGTAACGCCTCAAGTGTGGACCCTTGAGTTGCAGACGTGATAAAAGCTATGCTCTGTTTCTGTGCTGGGTCACTTTAAAAAAAGACCCAGGGCCAGGAGGAGGTTCCTGTTTGAGTTCCTGTTTTTGATTTCCTGACACATACTGTTTGCTTGTTTTAGTACATTTTTCGCCGGAGAGCATATTCGGCATCATCATCCGAGACAGTAGAGTGGCAGGCGTAAAATATATCTTCAGTTGTACCGGGTTGATCACGGATATTTGGATATAGTAAGCATGTATATTATATAGACCGCTATAAGTTCTTCCTCTTTCTGCTTTCATTCTGTGGCCACCGCAATGCACTGTAGAAACCTATTGCGATGACAGTACAGAGCGACAGAAGCTTAATGTTTCTAGGAGAAAATAACATGTTTGTCAGTATTGATATTATAGTGATATTGATATTTAATCTATTTCCGAGGACGTACGCGGAGTTATTTCCTAGCCTATATATTTGTCTTGAATATCTAGTGGTACAAACAAAGGCTACTGTGTAACTTGTGGTTTCGGTCGACACCTGTGGTTTAAGTATTGTTGCGGAGGAACACACTGCGCGACAGATTTTAATAGATAGAAGTGTTCCAATGCAAGCTAGCTATCTAACGTTATCGGTCCACTGAAATAGTCCAGCAAGGAAAATGAGAAGGGTCTGGCTGCAGCTGGCGCTTGCACTCTCAGACGTGCATTCTCAGGCTTGCACTCTCAGACACTTGCACTTCCGCTAGCTACGTCACTTGCAGTCTTTTATTTGTTTTTATTTTGTTCTATTTATTGATTACTTTTTGTTTGAATCGCTCAACGTTTTACAACAATAGCCAGGTGGTGAAGACAAGAAAAAAGAAACTAAATTACGAAGTCACTTGCAATCGCCACTTGCACTCTTGCACTCTCCGATACCTGTGACATCACTTGCAATGACACAAATCGTGCGTGTTGCCAATGGAGACAAGATGCTGTGGTGGGGATTTAATTATTATTTATTTTATTTATTTATTTAGTCATTTATTAGAGGCTTTTATACAAAGCGACTTACAAATGAGGACAACAGAAGCAATCAATTGTAGTATTAAAACAACTAAAAACAGATCCAAAACTAAAAGCTAAAACTTTATAAATACTACCTATACACATTTTAAAAATAAAGAGATTAAATAAAAATGACAAATGCATACAACAAACTTTCAAAACTTAACATTTAAAAGAAAAACAAAAAATAAAGCTAAAAACAATTCAAAATATTAAAGAACAAAAGGTATAAGAGTATAATAATGATTCTAACATAACACTAAGCCACACACCAAAATAAACATATGTAGTATATCTACATATGTAGTTTGTATGTACAACCACACACACATACATACATATATATTAGGGGTGTAACGGTACACAAATATGACGGTTCGGTACGTACCTCGGTTTTAGCGTCACGGTTCGGTATGATTTCGGTACAGCAGGGGGAAAAACTAAACTTTTTTTTTTTTTTTTTTTTTTTTACATGGCACCATGCTACAACATACAGTTCCTAGCTTAAACTGGATGAAACTAAATTACGAAGTCACTTGCAATCGCCACTTGCACTCTCCGCTACCTGCGACGTCACTTGCAATCGACACAAATCGTGCGTGTTGCTAATGGAGACAAGATGCTGTGGTGGTGATTAAACGATTAAAACTAATTGTATACTATAACATACAGGGTCCTGCAAGAAAAAGACAAGACCCGCAAATCCGTGGCCACAGAACAGCAGAATATGAACGCATTGCACAAAGTCTCTCGTTACGCGTTTTCCTCCTGAAACATAAACACTTAATATGGCATAATGTATTAAAATACATTAAGTGCAATTAAAAGATCAAATTCGATATATAGTTATTAGTAATCAACAAATAGAACAAAATAAAAAATAATAAAGACTGCAAGTGACGTCGCTAGCGGAAGTGCAAGTGTCTGAGAGTGCAAGCCTGAGAATGCACGTCTGAGAGTGCAAGCGCCAGCTGCAGCCAGACCCTTTTGAGGAAAATCGCCACCTCTGAAAATGCAACAGTAAAAGAAAAAATAAAGATTGAAATGTTGTTCTCACCTGACAAGTTGTGATTCATTCATGTCAAATCAAGTGGGTAATCATTCAGAAGGTTATTTTACAGTTACAACCAACCTGGTCTCCCCTATATTTCTTGATGGTAAAATAAACAGAAATATTTATGTGACACCCAGAAACCTGCAATCTGCATGTTTAAGCTATATTTTGTATATTTCTGTTTACTCCCTCTTTCTCAAGTATTTTTTTCTTTTGTTCCATGGCGAGTACCAATGCGTATATATAATAATAGGCTTTTGAATGGCAGGTTTCACTGAGTAAGCTTAACCACACTAATCAATGAAATTTAATTTTGTACTTTTTCTTGCTCATAATTATGAAAATTTCTTTCTCTATTTTTTTTTTAGTGAATAGTTTTCCTCATTTCTATATATATTTTTTATCTCCCTGTACAGAAGTCTTCAAGACTGCAAGCTCAAAGACTTTTAAGTAAGTTTTATTTTTCATTTACTCCACTGATAACCGCTCTTAGATGGAGGAGGCGTATGCAGCACTGTACCAGGAGTTTGTCCGTCTCCAGTCACTCTGCTTAAAACAAGCAGCAATAATACAACATCTCTCTGACACAATACAACGACAACAAGGTCAGAAGAATCTTGCAAATAAAATACTACTAATTACGTCATTATTAACGTCACATGATTGTATACACTATGATATGTGATATATTAATGTTCACTTTCAGGTTTGGCCACGGCTCCAACTAGGAACTTTGAAAAGCCGTGTCAGTGCACAGAGGAAAAGTCAGGACACCGAGCCCATGCTGCAGAACACCATGAGCAAGAACCTCTAAGAGATCCCAATGGACCACACATACTGGGCTCTCAAAGTAGAGTATTCTCCCTGTGTCTGTTGAAATGTTCACTTAGAAATTCTCCCATTGACTGAAGGCCCATTTACACCAAGGACGATAACTATAACTATCCACCTTCTTCCTCACGTAAAAATTCTACGGGTCTTGCTTCCGGTCTCATTTGCTTCCAGCTATTTTTAGCTGTACAAAACCACTGGTTTTGCTGCTTGATACTGCAAATTGGTGTGTCTTACCATATTATTTTAGTGTATTATCTTAATTATGAACACACTGGTTTGTACAGTTTTACAGTTTACTGCACGTCGTTATTCGTCTCGTTATTTCCCTGTAGCGGCTAACGAACCAGAAGTCTCGCCCATAGGCTTACTTCCACGTTTAAGAATAAAAGGTGGATATAGTTTTCAAATTCCACATTACAAGTATAGCAATAACAGCACAGAGGAACAATATCGTCGGAATAACTTCCAGAATGATTTTGTTTCCAGTTTATAAGCAATAAAAAAGTTGACAGCCAATCAGAATCCATCCCGCTTAGCTCAAGCATTTAAAGACAGCAGAACTGCAGTGTGTGCTTATAATAAACAATGTTATTGTGCAAAGGTATGGATGCTAATATAGTTATCGTTATAGCCCAGCCAACAATGACCTGTCGGTCAGCCAGAATTTTTTGCAGCTTGCTGGGCCTCCATCGGTACACCAGTGGCACGCAGTGTTGGGAAGGTTACTTTTAAAAGCAATAAGTTACAGATTATAAGTTACCCTATTTAAAATGTAATAAGTAGTGTAACTATTTCAATTACTTTATTAACGTAATGTAACTGATTACTTTTCAAAATGTAAATTTCTAATTTTTTTCTTACTTTTTTCTAAACTGTTAATCATTTTCAAACATTTAAAGCAGGCAGGGTTAACCTTACAGTAGTACTCGATACTGATTACTGTCAGACTTTCAGAATCCTTCATCACTTAAATAAAGATTATAATAATTTAATTTTAAAGCACAGCCACCACAAAATCAGACTTTAGCACCTCCTTTTTTTAACTTTTAGATCGTGCTGAGGTTAAACAGATTTAAAATGGTAACAAAACATAGTTTAATGGCTATGATTCTGTTTTCTTTGCATAGCTATGACAGGAAACACTGGCATGCCATGAAAAGAATAAAAAACAGTTAATTTAAAAAATAAAGCATATACATAAACCCAAATAGGAAATAAAACAGTTATCAAATAGACAGGTGCCCTATTCTTTGTCCTAAACTCCAGAAACATTGGTGTCTCATTTTAGAGCACTCGATGCAGTTTTGGAATCAATCAAATCGGCGAGTGTGTGAAAATATTCAGATGTAACCCCCTTTATAATCGTTAACATTTTCATAAGTAACTAATTTAATCACACATTTTTTCTCAGTAACTGTAACAGATTACAGTTACATTTATTTTGTAATTAAATTACATAACTGTTACTCCCCAACACTGGTGGCAAGCAGATAGTCGGTCCAGTTATCTTTATAGTAGGCCTTAACACTAATAGAATTTTTCCATTCAAAATCAAACTTTCTCACTTTTGTCTGCAATTCGGAGTCATTCAACCTCAAGTGTCAAATCAAGTTTTCTGCTATGCATCCTGTATGTTTGTTTTTCAGCTGGTAATGATCTCAGTCATATTGATAGAGGACTAGACAAACTGCATCTTAACCTGGACATGCCAGATCAGAAACAGGACAACCACGATAAAGCAGTTTTCCACTATCCGGTAAAGACGGAAGAAAACAGTGCCTGGGATGACCTGAGGAGAGTTGAGCAACATTATTATGCTAACCAGACTTCACAAAGACTGCGGGTTCGTATCACACCTGTGTTTAGTTAGAGTTGATTCCTTTAAGCTCCCAACTTGAAAGACTTCATTCGTTGTGTCTAGTCCTGCTTCCGATCACACCTCCTGCACATCTTACACAATATAAGCAAACTCCTGAACATGTGTGAGAAGGCTGTTTCTCTGTCCCGCAGAGGCCCTGGTCATCCTCCTTTCTGGACAGTGAGCTGGTCAGTCAAGCCGGAGGGCTGTTCATGTCTGGAGTCACGCTGCAGTCGCAGGTGTGTGAGTTCTGTCACGCTGTGTTTCCTGGACACACAAGCACCCGCGGAGAGTTTCTGCGTCACCTCACTACTCACATGACCTGAAGGAAAGCAAGGCTGGGAATCAAATTCATCAAAAAATGAAGATGAGATGATAAGTGAACACTTATGCCAGTAATGGACTGTCATATGTTTGATTTTGAAACTATTGGAGGTTTGGTCAGTGATTTTTTTTTTTTTTATTAAATTAAATTACACAACGTTGTACTGCAAGTACTTAATATGATAAAGTGAGAAGAACAACAAAAAATGTTATGCATGCACATGTATTTGTTGTTTCATTTTATCATGTTATGATTCATCGCCTAGTTTGATCTTGTAATTATTTGGTTCCATCACTAAAAGTGTCTGTTTTGTACCAGTAGAAATGGTATATATCATTCTTTTTTAGAAAAAATAAGTTTTTACCCAAATGCTTAATTTTCACTACCATAAAACACAAGATATGAGTATAGTGCTGTCTAGCAAATTAAATAGTAAATACACTAGAAAATGTTACACTGTAATCAATGGATCATACCAACTGGTAGCATGAATGCTGTAAAGCCTCATTAGTTTATCAGTGGTTATGTTTAAATGAACACCAGTGCTATGATAATAGACAGCAAGGCATCGGCGGATTAAAGGGATAGTTCACCCAAAAATGAAATTTCTGTCATTAATTGCTCACCCTCATGTCGTTCCAAACCCGTAAGACCTTTGTTCATCTTCGGAACACAAATTAAGATATTTTTGAAGGAATCTGAGAGCTCTCTGACCCTCCCATAGACAGCAAGGATATTAACACGATCAACGCACAGAAACATAGCAAGGACATCGGTAAAATAATCCAGATTAAGGTCTAGAAACGTAGTAAGGAATAGTCCATGTGACATCAGGGGTTCAACCGTAATTTTACAAAGCTACGAGAATACTTTTTGTGCACAAAAAATAAAAATAAACGACTTTATTCAACAATTTGTCGCGGATATGCTGTTTACGTCGTTTCCGCTTTGATTTGAATGAAAACAGCGTATCCGCGTGACGCAGCTGACACAAAACAGCATACACCATTTACGTTCAATGGATACTCTCCAAAATGGGGCTAGGGTGGAGACGAATTGTTGAATAAAGTCGTTTTTTTTTTTCTTTTGCGCACAAAAAGTATTCTCGTAGCTTTGTAAAATTACGGTTGAACCCCTGATGTCACATGGATTATTTTACTGATGTCCTTGCTATGTTTCTGTGCGTTGATCGTGGTAATATCCTTGCTGTCTATGGGAGGGTCAGAGAGCTCTCAGATTCCTTCAAAAATATCTTAATTTGTGTTCCGAAGATGAACAAAGGTCTTACAGGTTTAGAACGACATGAGAATGAGTAATTAATGACAGAATTTTCATTTTTGGGTGAACTATCCCTTTAAGACATTTTTACATGACACGGGCAAATCTCTTTAGTCTTGTTTACATCCTACTTAATGTTACTTTTTAGTGTTCACAAAAAAAAAACTGGTTTGTTGCCTTGAAAAAGGCAACCTTCAAGGCACTCCAGTACACAAGGACATGCTCTTACACAACACAGTTTCTTGAACAAGCTAGCCTAAAGGGATAGTTCACTCAAAAATCTGTTGTTCAAACCTGTATGATTGAATTTTTTTTTGCAAAACACTTGAATCTTTTTTCACAATGGTCCAAAACAACTCCTTTGACTTTCTTTTCATATGGACAAAAATGCTGCAAAGTATCTTTCAAAATATCCTATTTTGTGTTTCACAGAATAAAGAAATATAGAGTCCCACAGTTTTTGAATGACATGATCTTTGGTTCATTTTTGGTTATCCTTTTAATTATAGGCCTTTACAAGCATATTACTCAAATTAAATCAATTTATTGATTAGCGATTAACTGATTGAGTGAATTTGCCACCAGTGGCACCAAACAGGCAACTGAAACAATAACTACATTTTTTTAACTTTTTCCCAAACACTTCCCCATCTGTGAGATTGACGATGATGATGATGGCAGGGTAGGGCAAGTGAATTACAGTTGGTTTGTTGAGATGAGACTAGGGTGAGTGTGGGCGGTGGAACCATGTGTCAGAAATGAGACCGAAACATCAAAATTTTCCATACATTTTCATGTACAATACTGTAAGTACCTTAAACAAGAGCAGTGGATGAATAAAAGTTATTGTTGTAATACACAAAGTTTCTATTTTTACACTGTTAGCAAAATAAAAGTAACAATCTAGAGAAATAAACATGAGAAACCTTACAATATAATTTATTGAGCAATTGAAAAATAAATAATCTGTCATTAAAGAGGCCACATATCTATTTCTAACATTGGCGCTGCAATGCACAACTCTTACTAACAATTCTCATTAGCCATTCAGCCTTTAAACAGTGAGAATATTATTTTCCCCCCATGATTCATTTGAATCATTTACATTTTGTAACCTATGAAAACTCGTGTGCATTTAGAGTTGATATATTCATATTTACTGCATCATTATGTTACTAGTGCAAGGTGTTCTTAATATATTCAATTTCAGGATTTCACATGTTAATATGATCCAAAACTTGTAAACGTGTTTTGCTCGCTGTACATAAAGTGTTTGAGCAGTTTGCTTATTCTAGCATTGTGATTGGCTGGATTAAATAAACATGTTCCTCCCAAACTTTTGTTAGAAAAACTTTGCAAGAAACTGAGAAAATGGAATGAGACCTAAATCCCAGCGTCTCACAGCTCCGCTTAGAACGAGAAGCATGTCATCTATCCTAATAAATTATGCAATTTCATTCTAGAATTTGCTTGACACAATATTAGCACCATTGAAGCTTTTTACTGACATTATAACCTGACAGAGAATATGTAATGTATTTGTAACACTTGTTGCTTGCACTAAGCTGTATGTGCTTCAAATTTCATTTGCACTTTCCACCAAATGTCTTTAAATGTTCTGACAGAACATGATACGGTGCATACAAGTTTTATAGAACAGGACTATTCAACATAGCGAACTGAACACCACGGCTGCATTTAGACATGATTTCCAACCTGAGTTCAGCATGGAGACTTGCAGATTGTCAGTTATGGATCATCTTTGGTGTTTGCTGGACTGCTGCTTCTGTTACTCGATCCTCTCCTCTCTGACACTTTCTCCTCCATCTCTATGAGAATATAAACAAAGTTTTTGGATTTTAAATATGAGAATGAGGTTTTTTTTTTATAATAAAGAGTGTCAAGAACACAATAGATTCTGCGGTGAATGGGTGCCGTCAGAATAAGAGTCCAAACAGCTGGTAAAAACATCACAATAAAAAAAAGCTGCATGGGTCCCACTTTATATTAGGTGGCCTTAACTATGTACTTACATCAAAAAATAAGTACAGTGTACTTACTGTGTTCATATTGTATTGGAAAACAGTTTTTGCTGCTATTGAGGTGGGATACGGTTAAGGTTTGGGACAGGTTTGGTGGTATGGGTTGGTTAGGTGTAAGGGATGGGTCAACAGTGTAATTATAAATTCTGTCTTTGCGTGAACATTTGGGCGGCATTATGCAAATCTTCCCACATAGTGACATAGACATGCGGGGGCGTGTTAGAACGAGCCGTTTTAGGTAGGTGTGACTCTTAACTTTTATAAAGAATATCTCTTTGGATTTGAGACTTTAGTCTTTGCAACTTTACAGATCTTCTTTATGCACCAAGAGCTTGTAACACTCCAAAAGAGAAAGGAAAAATTGAAATCGCATCATATGACCCCTTTAAGGCCACCTAATATAAAGTGGGACCGCTGCAAGTTTGTAAGAAACAAATTCATCAAGACATTTTTAATTAAAACCATCGATGCCAGTGAAAATAAATAACCCCGTTTACAAGTGAAAACAGTCCAAAATAATCCTTAACAAATAAATTGGTGGATTTTGATGTGAAAAAGGGCATGGACAAGTTATGGCCTGATACTTATGGATTATGGACTCATATTTTAACCAGAAACGATGGTTTAAAAGTTAAAACGTCCTAACAATGGATTTGTTTGAACTTTTCACTTCACAACCTGTTAATGATGGACTGGAGTGGTGTGGATTACTTGTGGATTATTGTGATGTTTTTATCAGCTGTTTGGACTCTCATTCTGACGGCACCCATTCACTGCAGAGGATCCATTGCCGAGCAATTTTTTCTCAAAAATGTGTTCCTATGAAGAAACAAACTCATCTACATCTTGGATGGCCTGAGGGTGAACTATTCCTCTAAATATGTTCTGCTCATTAATGCACAGAGTTATCAAGAGACTAGAATTTGGAACTGGGAGAATCAGCATTTGCATCATTGGGTTTCCCACTGCATTTCTACTTGTGCTATTGAACATCACAATTCCCACACTTCGGCAGACATTAATAATACATTACAGCAATGCAATAAAACATTATGTTAAAACTTGTATCATTATGTGAAGGCAGAACAATGCTGAGGAATGACTGTGCAACTGCAGAATGACTGACAGCGCAATGAAATTAGGAACTTGCATTTTCGCTTGAAAGAAACAACACAAAAAAATACAAAGAAAGACTGATTAAAGCTCATTTTTGGCCATGTCTGTTCAATAATTCATACACCATTTCTACCACTTTCCATTGACTTCTATCGTTTTATAGTGAGCTGATATTTTCTGATATTAACATACCCCTCACGAGTATGCGTGAAGGCCGCAAACGTGTGTAGAACTTTTGATGACCCGATGGGTCACACTTACAACAGAGTTGCAAAAATGCAAGTAACATTTTTTATGGAGCTTTATTTACACATTTTGTTTACTTTGCACTTTAAAATAAACATCTAAATGACTGTTTAGTCATGATGTAAGATTTTCCAAACCAGTATGACTTTCTTTCTTCTGTGGAACATATAAAAAGACATTTTAAAGAACGCTTTGACATTTCTCAAAATATTATCTTATATGCTCCACAGAAGAAAGAAAACCATATAGGTTTGGAACAACATGAGGGTAACGATGAGTAAATGATGACAGAATTTTAATTTTTGGGTGAACTACCCCTTTAGGTCTTAGTTACAAGAAATAAAGCTACAGCTGAGAGAAATAAAGTCACAATTACATGAAAAAGTCAATATTTTGAGCTATAAAGAAATAGAGTAACAGTTTTAGAGAATTAGGTTACCATTTTATTTTTGTAACTCTGTGGCAGAAACTAGCATTCATAAGTGTTTTAAAAAGCCATTTTTCTCATGAGAACCGTTGACTGGTTCCCACAATGGTGATTTCATGTTTTACTGCCCTTGTGGTGACATTTGATCACCACAGTGTAGGCAAAACATGAACATCACACATCACATTCAACACAAGATCAAAATCTGGATCGCAATCGCACACGTGATCAAACTCTGGAAGCCTCTTTTACAGTGATCACACACACACACACACACACACACACACACAACTACTTTCCCCTCTCCCTCGGTCCTTTCATTTCTCTCTCTCGCAAACACAATCTAGGTCACACACCTGCTGAAGCACGGCCATACACCCTCACTCTTGGCAGAGCACACAGTGTTGCCATGGTTTTAGTGTGTGTGTGTGTGGAACATTAAGACTTCATTAAGCCTTTAAAGCTGCTTGAGTCTGTCTCTACACATGCTTTGAGGGACAGAGAGTGTTTTTGTGTGTGTGAGGGAATGCATGAGGGTCTATATTTGCATTTGAGACTGTTTATATTTTGTGTGAAAAAGGATGTGTGTATGTAATTAGAAACATCTGCTCAGCACAAAGCCACCTTTAAAAATACTTAATAAAATAGGTCAGAGTGCGCACACACATACACACACCCACCCACAAATACACAGAAGGACAATCAAACACAAGCAGGAGTCACTGCTGATTGAATAAACAGAGATAAAACAGAAACAGATAGACAGTAAATGTCATATCAGTCCACACCCAATGACAGAGTGACAGACAGACAGAGAGAGAGAGAGAGAGAGAGAGAGAGAGAGAGAGAGAGAGAGAGCGGCTGCATCCTTTCACTGCCCACATGGTTTATTTTTACTCTTGTCTCTCTGAGTCAAAGCGACGCCCTTCTCACTCCCTCCTACTCATTCACCCCCTCTTTCTCTCCATCCATCCATCCATCCACCCTCCTCTCACACATTTTCATAAGCTTTGACGTCAGACAGGGAAGGGGGGGCTCCAATTTATCACCCACACAGCACTTCCTGTGGCCCCCACCACCCATACGCGTTTTCTCTTCTCATTTCTCTTTATTCTGCGGTCCCCAATGACGACGTCGGACTGAGATGTTTGCCTCTGAAAGAGCTTCTCGACTCTGATGATCTCGGATTCATTCCATCCTTAAAGACTAGCTAGATTAGCTAACCAGATAAGTAAAATAAATCAGTTTGTCACTGTTCTTATATATTCCTCAGAGACACTTCAAGGTGCAAATAATGGCTTAAAAAAAAACTTAAATAGCCAAGCTTGTTATCAGTTCTGACATTGCATTTTGTACTATATGTAACTAAGCAGCAAAAATACACACTTCTTAATAATTATACAGAAAAAAAGGGTTACAATTTATTTGAAGGTGTCCTTGTTACAGTGTAACTATACATTTAAGTACTGAGTAATATTAATTAACTACATGTACTTAATATATGGTTAGGGATAGGATTAGGGTTTGGTTTAGAGTTACTTGCATGTAATTATGCATAATCTATTGTTATTATAATAGTAAGTACATGTGTAACAAGGACACCTTAAAATAAAGTGTTACCGAAAAAAGTTACACTTTATTTAAAGGTGACGTTGTTACAGTGTAATTACACAAATAAGTGCAGAGTAATATTACTAAATTCTTAGGGTTAGGGTTTAGTTTAGGGTTAGTTACATGTAATTATGCATCATTTCCTGCCATTACCATAGTAAGTACATGTAACGTGTAATTAAGTAACCTTAAAATAAAGTGTTACTGAAAAACTGTCCTCATGTTGATGAACAAAATCTGAAGGTAAGCCTCTCTTTTTACTGACCCTAAGTTTACAAAGGGGAAGTAAATCCAAACTCGGTCTTATTCCCTATTTGTGGTAAGTGCATGAGAAGTGTGTGTGTTATAAAACATCTAGTATTCACCTGAAATCTGTCTCTTTTCTGACCCTAGGCTGACTTTACTTGCGTGGTCACGTGACACCATTCTAGCCAATCTGAGGCCCTCATCCATGAGAGTTTGTTGCATGAGCTGGCGACTCCAGTTGATGAGGCCAGTGGTGTCGGTGAGGGGGTGAGGGGATGAGGAGGGGTGCAACTGAGGGCTGATATCTATCAAGACACAGAATTAGACAAACATATGCCTCTCAATCAAATGTTACGGTTTCTTTCAGCAATGATGTTTTTCCCTGACATGAGTATGAATGGACACAAATTTGCTTTGTTATCTTCTATGCTTGAATTTTACATCATCTCACTTTGATCACTTTTTGCGTGTGAGGTGATCCTTCATGGCTGGGATGACCATTATGACATTTGCAATAAATGCAACATAGAATGTGGGACAATGATGGTTACAAGATTTACTGACACACACTAGACATTCATAAATGTATCAATGTTTAAAATAAAAGCAATGAAAATAAGGACTCTTACCTTGTGTTAAACTATCTAGACTTTCTCCAGAGAGGCTGTTGTCATCCGCTGTAGATCTGTTGTCACTGTTGGCTACTGGATCCTTAGACAGTCTGTCAGAATCTGTGACCTGAAAGAAGCAGTACTTCATTTCTAATGAAAGCGTTACTCGTTGTGTCACTAGTAGTTGGCTTGTTACACTATAATTACAGATATGAGTGCAATAGTACTATAAAAGGAGTTCACAACTTGACATCCAATGTAAGCTCCAGTGTAACTCACAATCCATCGATTTACATCTTTATTTTAATCCTATAAGGGAACCTGTTCATTTTCTTGTCATTTTTGTAGCTATATAGTCAAGTCGCTATTAAGAAAGTGTAAGCATCTGCCCAAACTTCACCTGAGCATATTCCTCAAAGTCCTGTTATACAGATGTATATATAGATACATATCTTGATGTACTTACATCAAGCTTGATTCTCTTCTGAGCAGAACAGTCAACAGAGGCAGTACAATCATCTGAGTATGTCCTGAGATGATAATACAACAAACCCAGCTCAAATTCTGATCATATAAGTTTACTTGTAAAAAAAAAAAAAAAAAGTCACAGTATTGAAGTATTGGAGGGCAAATATAGAAAACGACACACAAGAGGCGGCAGGGCTAGCTTTCACAGGTATTTGTGAAAATGCCTATATCTCAGCAACTTCAAGGATTTAAGTGAAATGTCCAGTTGCCCAAATGTGTTTCTCCATTTATTTGACATATTTTCTTATAAATGCAGCACATCTGTTACCAGGCATAAAGGTCTGGTCACACAAACAAGAACCTTGGTCCACTACTACCTCCAATAAATTCTTCTCTACACAAGCGCCTTGGACCAGTTTTCTTTTCTTTTCTGTCTTGATTACATTGAAGATTCTGCTCAGCTAAAAGTCTAACACACTGGTTTTGAATGTACTACATAATCAATTATTTGTATAAATTCTGTCATCCAAACTAAAATTCCACTATCATGATATTTGTGACCCTGGAGCACAAAATCAGTCTCAAGTCGCTGGGGTATATTTGTAGCAATAGCAAAAAAAAAACATTGTATGGGTCAAAATTATTGATTTTTCATGTCAAAAATCATTAGGATATTAAGTAAAGATCATGTTCCATGAGGATATTTTGTTAATTTCCTACCGTAAATATATCAAAACTTAATTTTTGATTCGTAATATGCATGGCTAAGAACTTCATTTGAACAACTTTAAAGGCGATTTTCGCAATATTTTGATTTTTTTGCACCCTCAGATTCCAGATTTTCAAATAGTTGTAATCTCGACCAAATGTTGTCCTATCCTAACAAACCATACATCAATGAAAAGCTTATTTATTCAGCTTTCAGATGATGTATAAATCTCAATTTCGAAAAATTGACCCTTATGACTGGTTTTGTACTCCAGGGTCACATTTTTGCTTGAGCTGTTGAATATACAGCTTGAACACAATAAAAGCAAAGAACTGTATGGTAAATGTCTGATCTTCAAATTTGGGGTCTCTTTCTCGAACAGTCTCACACCACCAACAGTTCAAATTTGCACTTATATTTTTGATTATATCCTTTTAACCGAATGGTCAACAAACATAACTGATAGTTTTGTAATAGTCTCTCTACATGGACATATGGACATGGTGCTGATGACACATACCAGGTTTCATCAGGATTCGCCAATGCATTGTGGTAAACTGAGCAGTCTCATTGCATGTCTTTGTCTGACACACTCATTTCAGAACCACTCTTTTAGGCCAAACAATTGTGAAACAAGTCATGTTTTCCCGATTTCATCGCCAGTAGGTGGCGCTGTCTCCAAACTGCTCAGGTACTCTCGGGTCTTGATTGTGATAACAAACCAAATTTCATTGTCTTATAGCATTGCGAAACTTGCCTTGTTTTTGGTGTGCTTTCTGTTGAATGACTATTTTGTCTGATTACTTATTACATAAGAAGTGTTTGGCTCATGACAAACCTTTGAAGATGATATGAGCCAAGTTTGGTGAAGGTCGAATTAAAATTCTTGGGAGGAGTTCAAAAAAAGTCTGTTTTTCAGAAAAGTTGGGCAGAAAATAAAAACATGGTTTGCTTTTGTCTTGGCATGAGCCTAGGTATCAGAAGTACAATTAAAATCTGTGGATTTACTATTTATGTGATTTATTCCACAAATATTGATTTCAAACTCTTCCCAAGTTAAAACAATAGTATTGCGATTTTTAAAAATGAATATGAACTTGTTTCCTTTGCATTATTCAAGGTCTGGAAGCACTGTATCATTGATATTTTGACCCAAAGTCATTTTCGGCAAATGAATGCTATAAAAGTCGTGTTGATTAGTATTATTTGAAACAGTAGTTTGTTGAATAAAACAAAAATGTTCAATTTACTTAAACATACAAACAGTAAATCCAGAGAAACTTCTCTTAATTTTTTCCACTGCTGCATGTACTGTGTATATGTGCATATTTTAATTATGCCTGTAAATATCTAACAATACATGTAACCACCTCATCTGGATGCAAAATCTGAAACAATTTCAAAATCAAGATGAAAGTAGTTCCTGACCTGTTATGTTTAAATGTTGACGTGTAGGCACATTCTCTCGCCACTTGTTGTGCTAAAGAGAACAGTTCAACTCTGCGTAACAACAGAGCATTGTCACGAATGCAGAATTGAGCTGCAGCCTCATTGATGAGCATCTGAAAGTGGAAATATTAAAAATGAAACTGGATCATCTGAGCTCTATGAAAGTCAAGGCATTTTGACAACTATAAAATGCATTAAATGACTCCTGTAATGTTTATAGTAGCCTAACTGGTATTTTAAAATTAGTATGTTATCAAATATTACTGTGAAATCTAGGAATTGCAGTTAGTTCTGTAAAGTTCATCATAAAAAGGTCTTGTCAAAACACATGCAAAGACTTGTGGGATAATAAAATAAATCCTCTGAAAATGAACTGGAGGAATTGCTGGATTCATCTAATCCAGTGCTGTTTTTTAAAAGTTTAAAAAATGGGCTGTAATCAAAAGATTGTAGAATCAAATCTTGCTTCCCTGTGCAAAAGTCATCGCCACAATGCTAAGATGTTGTGGGTGGTTGCCATGCAAAGCAGTTGCTTAACTTTTCTGTGTGTTATGCAGTTGCTAGAGTGTTATGAGTCGTTGCTTTGGGATGGGAATTGTCCCATTTCATTGTCTACAATAAAAATGATAAGTCTAATTGCTTATTAAAGTAATAGCACACCTCTTCTTACTTTGAGTTGTGTGTACTGTAATACACAATGTCTACACTCTTAAAAATAAAGGTGCTTAAAAGGTTCTTCACAGCGATGCCATAGAAGAACCATTTTTGGTTCCACAAAGAACCATTCAGTCAAAGGTTCTTTAAAGAACCATCTCTTTCTTACCATTTTATAATCTGAAGAACCTTCTTTTGCCACAAAGAAGCTTTTGTGAAACAGAAAGGTTCTTCAGATGTTAAAGGTTCTTTATGGAACCATTTAGACAAAAGGGTTATTCTATGGCATCGTGAAGCACCTTTATTTTTAAGAGTGTACAGCAGATTAGTTTAGTTTGGATTTAGCAAATTTCACTGTAGAGATACAGGATGATACTTTAGTTTAGTTGTGTGTTTATTACAGCTAAACTTGAGAAGAAAAAATTTTTTTTTATAACATCAGTGCAAGTTGTTCAAAATGTTCTCTTTAACAGACCTCATGATGGGTGAGCTGTTTCCCTTCCCTCCTCTTGGAGTCAAAGCGGCCATGGATCAGGCTGTATTTGCGAATCTCTTCCTCTTTGCTCTTGTCTTGAGGTTCCAGGTGGAATATGTGTCCCACCGTCTTGTCCATTTTCTTATTGAGTCTCAAAAGCGTCTTCACCTCGGTTTGATCTGCTTGCGGCATGGTTCTTAGAAGCCTATCAACACTTTCCTCCACGGCTTTAATGGTCTCTGGGTCCAGCTGACCTCCGGGCCACGGAGAGGTCATAGTGGAGGAGGATGAAGAAGAAGTTGGCGTCGGAGGAGCAAGAAGTCGCGAGTGGCAAGCGAAAGGCAGAAGGGTAATGGCCTGTTCTTCATCTAACTCAGCGGCTCCATACATTTCAGGACTGAGCCCGTGGGGATCCATGGGGGACAGTTTTTCTCTGTACAGATGGTCTAGAGGTACAGGAGAGGCCTGTGAGTAGGGGCTCTTTGGACTGTTATCCCTGAGCGGCGTAAGGCAAGATCCTACTTCCTCTCTTTCACACGGAGAGCCTGGCTGACCATTGCTTAAAGATTTTCTGCCACCAATAACCCCTGAGCCAGCAGCGCTGCTGCTGTCGATCCTGAGGAGAGGGATTCCACAAGGGGCCACATTGGTGGCCAGAGGTTGGTTGAACAGCGTTGGGTTTGCCGCCCAGTCGCGCAGAGCCTTCTGCAAACGCCGCACATGCAGGGGTTTTGTGGCCATGCCAACTAGTGCCATGATCTCGAGAAATTCCTCTTCGCCAGCCTCGCACAGCTGTTGGACATCATCACCTCCCTGCTGGATGAAGGTGTCATAGTACATCAGCAGGTTGGCCCTTTGTAAAACTCGGTAGAGCTGCAGCTCGCCCAGCGTCCGTGGTAGTGACATCCTGATGCTCGGCTACAACAGGATTTCCACAAAGCTTGTCATTAGTATCATTTAAAAACACATATATATTTCACTACTATATATATAAATATATATACAGTAACAGACCCGTATGACTAGTCTTGTATATATATATATATATATATATATATATATATACAGTATGTGAATGTATGTATTTATGTATACAGGGAATGTACATATGAAGCTCTAATCAAGTAGATAAGAAAACATGATATCTTACAATAAAAACATAATGGATAAATGTCAAACAGCGGACACATTTTGTGCACTGTTAGCTCTATTTTAGTTAATGACTGAATAATCATGAATACAATTTTGAAGATGATTGTGTCATTCACCTCACGGCTGCAGAGGTCTGCTCAGCAGCAATAGAAAGTGTTTCTATGAATAATAAATTACAGTAGTTTCTGAACAGACTTTAAAATAAATGCTCCATGAATAAGCTTAATTTAAAATGTCTGTTTAGTGGCAAACGGTGCTGATGTAATATGTTGTGGGTGTTGTTTTCTAATAAAGAGTATGCATTTATCCATAATAAATAAGTAAAAAGAAATCAATAGTAAAAGCGAGGTAATAAATCTCTATCCCAAAAAAGTTTCACAACTTTTTTTTAACTATGAATGTATAACCTACAGGCCTATATCTTAATGCTTCTTTTTCTTTTGCGGTTTTATGAACTTTAAATCTTTAAATAATGAAACCAAACACCCTTATTTTAAAACCTATTTTTACTCTTGTGAAAGGTTTTTAAATGAGTCATAAATGAACTATTAGTATGGGATAATGTACAGCGAGCCAGTCAACTTGGATGCCCAACACAAAAATAACCCCTGAATAGGTTAATTTTTCTATAATGACCATATTGCCACATAAATAAATGGACAAGAAATATTGACTTCAAATAATGACTTCAAGTGATTGCATGATGTAAGAAGAAAGAGTGGAATGTTGACTCCTCTATTTCTTGTTGGGTTGCTAAAAGGGAGCTTCGGAGGGGTTGCAAATAAAGTGAGACAGGTAATGCAAAGCCGTTAATGTGTGCATAGCAGAAGCATAACTATGGTGAGAAAACTGCTGGGTCTGAATGGTTCTGAATACACTAACATTTTAGTTAATGTCAGGGTCCACCACCACCACCACCAAAATCACCATTTACTCAGCAACTGTACAAAACACTACATCAACACTGTACACTTCCTAAGGAATAAGTCACTCTTTGTATCCAGAACATCTTCAAGGCTGGTTCACACAGAACACATTGTTGTGTTTCACATCCAGTGGAACATGTTCTGAAAAGAAAGAAGTGCAACTTCAAAAACGTGTCTTGAGACCCTGCCTTCTTTTCCATTCATCAGTGCTGTGTCTCTGCAGTTGGATACTATTGCGCAGTTTCACACATTTCAGCGAACAGTTCTTGAAAGAACCATTGTGTGTGTGTGTGTGTGTGTGTGTGTGTGTGTTAAGAACATTTTAATAATCTAAACAACCTTGAAAGTACTGTTTGTGCTAAAGATTCTATTGATGTTAAAGGTTCTTCATGGAACCATTAATGCCAGTAAAGAACCTTTGCTTTTTAAAGATTCTTCTATGGCACTGCTGCAAAAACACCTTTTGGAACCTCTTTTTTAAAGACTGTATCCAAGAGCCAAGTTGAGGTGCAGTCAAATTTCTTTCTTCTGCAGTGTAATATGAAGCCTCTTAATCTGCAATAATGGTTGTTTACTCAACCTCACATTTCTTCCGCTTTTTATATCGCGCTCTCTCTCCTACAAAATAATATCTGGAGACAGATTTGGCATGTGAAAGTTCCATCATTGCATCCTCCTTTAACTACATGAATACATAATCTAAAAATCTAAAAGTTTCAAGTAGTCCCACAGAAAGAGAGAGAGAAAGAGATGTTTTATTAAAGCTTTATCAAATTAAATAACAGCTTAATGTTTTATCTATATGTGACCAGTGTTGGGAAGGTTACTTTGGAAATGTAATAGGTTACAGATTACAAGTTACCCTGTTTAAAATGTAATAAGTAGTGTAACCATTTCAATTACTTTATTAAAGTAATGTAACTGATTACATTTGATTACTTTTCTAAATTTCTAATGAATGTTTTCAAATGTTAATCATTTTGACAGATTTAAAGCAGGCAGGGTTAACCTTACAGTGGTACTCGACACTCATTACTGTCAGACTTTCAGAATCCTTCATCATTTGAATTAAGATTAGAATTTATTTTTTAAAGCACATCCACCACAAAAGCACCTCTTTTTACTTTGAGATCGTTCTGAGGTTAAATACAGATTTAAAACCATAACAAGAAATAGTTTAATAGCTATGATACTGTTTTTGAAATCAAATCTTTGCATAGCTAGGAAACACAGGCATCTAACAGTTAATCTACAAAAAAAAAAGCATATACATAAACCCAAATAGGAAATAAAACAGTTATCGTATAAACGTGTCCTATTCTGTGTCCTAAACTCCTGAAACATTGGTGTCTCATATTTTAGAGCAGTCAATGCAATTTGGGAAAGAAATCAATTAAATCTGTATGTGGGTGTGTGTTGTGTGTGTGAAAATATTCAGATGTAACCCCCTTTGTAACCATTAACATTTTCATAAGTAACTGTAATTTAATTACACGTTTTTCTCAGTAACTGTAACTGATTACAGTTACATTTATTTTGTAATTAAATTACGTAATTCCGTTACATGTAACTAGTTACTCCCCAACACTGTATGTGACCCTGGACCACAAAACCTAAAAAAATAAAAAATAAAAATTATTATTATATTATATATTTTTATTATATTTATTATTATTATTGAGATTTATACATCATCTGAAAGCTGAATAAAAAAAGCTCTCTATTGATGTATGGTTTATTAGGATAGGACAATATTTGGCTGAGATACAACTATTTGAAAATCTGGAATCTGAGGGTGCAAAAAGATTACAATATTGAGAAAATTGCATTTAAAGTTGGCCAAATGAAGTTCTTAGCAATGCATATTACTAATCAAAAATTAAGTTTTGATATATTTACAGTAGGAAATTTACTAAATATCTTCATGGAACAAAATCTTTACTTAATATCCTATTGTTGCATAAAAGAAAAATCGATCATTTTGACCCGTTTCTATGTATTGTAGGCTATGCTACAAATATACCCCAGCGACTTAAGACTGGTTTTGTGCTCCAGGGTCACTATTAGGCTACAAAAAAACTTTTAGCCCTAAAAGTTGCATGCCATGTATAAGCTACAGCAAAAACATTTTGTAGTCACAGTAGCTGTAGAATGTTTTATTTTTAAAACATCTTTTTCTGTATCTTTTTTTCAGCTTGCATATTTTTAAATTTCACAAATAATGAGCTAGTTTATCTACGAAATTCCCTTCATATGCTCATGAGTTGTTGTTGTTAAATATAACCCGCAGTAGTAGTTTTCCTCCGATCATTAATGAAGATAGTAGCTAATTGCTCAATGTAGATGACTCGTCAGTAGTTGTGTAGGCTCCTACAGTACTCACCTCGAGAGGTTTCAAGACAGAATCCAGGACAGGATCCAGCAGAACACTTCAGCTTCCAGTAACCAAACGACCGACTCTATCAGATTCTGAAACTCAACTCAATATCAGTCAAACTTTTCCTTCTGTTGAAAGACTTGTATCTTTACGCCTTCTGTTAAAATACTTGTATCTTTACGCCTCTGACGCGTAATTTATTTTTTGTTTTCTGTGCTTGTTAGACCTTATTCTACAGATGTGAGATTGGACTAAAATGTTCTTGAAACTCTGGTGTTGTCTCGACTATGCTCTGCTGTGCTGGCAGTAGCGGTGAGTTAATGACGCTCCTTTCGCTGCCTGTGTGGGCGCGAGAAACGCGTGGGCGGACTGCGGCACGCCATCTGACCGAATAAGAGCCTTCCTCTCCGGTCTGAGCGCCTCTCGCGTCAGGGTGTGGATGGACGGGGAATTTTGTCCGTTTCACTGTTTTAAGCTCAGATCTGTACAATGTGAAAGCCAGCCGTTTAGGCGCTATACAGCACGACGGAGCCCCACTATAATGAGTATCAGATTTAATGCATGAACAAGCATGAGTGCAGTCAGTCGGTTGTGTGGAAGAGCGCCGGAGATCACCGAGTCTGTGGGCGGTGATCGAGCTCAGTGACGCGGCTTGAGCAGCGGGATTCCCCGGCACCTCAGCCTCTGACTGCTTGCTGCGCTCATTTAAAGCACAGCGTGGACTGTGTGTGTGTGTGTGTGTGTGTGTGTTTAAAGACTGACTTACAATCTTTTTTTTTTTTTCATACACCATTCTTTTTTATCTATTTCATATGGTTTTTATGTATTCATTTTAAATAGAACTTTACAGAATATTCATAGAATACGAATAGAATGGTTTTATTTTTGCGTTATTTTGTATATTTAGGACACATAAACCGTTAGCTAAGCCTTAGCAAGACAAATGAAGTTCAGTCTCCTCCTCTTAATGTAGCCATAAATTGTCAGTTAAACATGTGGCATATGAACATGTGGCATATCAGCTGATTTATTTGACCTCTGAATAATAGAACATATTAGTAATTGTGCATATTTTATAAACAATATTTATAATAGGCCTATATTAGCCTATATATAATATTTATATATTAAAATAGGCTATATATATATTTTGTGCATATATATTTTATTGTGTATTTGGATTTAAACTGCACAAATAAAACTATAGGCTACACTCACGTTTTTTCAGTCAACACAGTTGGCATTTGATACAGTGTTGTTCATGAACTGTTTTAACTGTTTTAATCTATCTATCTATCTATCTATCTATCTATCTATCCATTCTTTTAATATTCATATATATTCATTTACTTATTACTTTTCATTTCACATAATTTTTTTTCTTTTATTGTGTGGGACAATGGGACAATGCTGTGAAGCAGTCCTTTTACTTGGCTAAAACATCACTTGATAAAGACCGAAAGACTGAGCATCAAGAAAGATACGTTAATCAATAAACTTATGTAATCATACTCATTTTACTTTGACTTTATCTATTGTTTCCTGTCTTTTAGGCTGAAAGAGGAGCTGACATTATCAGGAAAAAATAGTGTTGACCATTTTGGGGTATCAAAGTATGTTGACTGATTTTGACTATCAAATAAAACTTGGATATCAGGCAAAACTTAGTTAATGAAGCACTTTGAGAAATATTTAAAATGAATATAATAGTATTTATTGGGTACAGCTTTTAGATAGCTATGTGCATCAGCATATTCATAAGCTCTGCAGTTAATTTAGAGAGCGAAATTATGAAAGAAAAATATATGTTGGCATATGTAAGAAAAAATAAATGCTGTGATAAAATAATTGATCAATGTTGTAGTGATTAATTGTTCTTACTTTTAATTGTTAATAAACTGTGGGCTGTTGTTCTGCTAGCAAACTTTGCACTGTAGCTAGCAGGTTTTTACGTTGGCTTGAATAAAATGAGGAGCTAAAATAAAATATTGATGTAAAATGGCTTTTTAATTAAACATTTGCTGTAAGTGGTGGTTTTAGGCTACATTAATGCATTATGGATGAGTGTTTCATCTGTAACTGGACTGGAACAAATGCACTTGTATTTATGACCAATTGTGGAAAATAAAAGCTAATTGTAGACATTATTGATCATAATTTTATTTTTAGACAGTTGAAAGAAATCGCGTATCGTGACGCCTTCCTTCCCATCCAGTTAACAGAAGGCAGGAAAGGGTTACTTAAACGGAAGTGACGCTTCAGCGCTTGTGCTGTACTCGGAAGTGAACAAGAATGAAGGGAGAAGGACAGTGAAAGCAGCTAAAGATAGGTGAGAAGACAGGCTGAGCTGCTTCAAACTCATCTTACACCCAAGATAAACTTTCCTGTCTATACACTGTTCTTTTAGAGTAGTAATGCAGCACGGCTCGCTGTGGATGCTCTTCTGTTAGCATGCCTGCTAAAGCAAAACAGCATCGTAAAGCAAGAGTTGAAACAAATATAAAGATTATTAAACTTAAACATTTACAGCAACAAGCGCCGTCTGTAAAACCTCAGTGAGCAGCATTTGAGGAGTCGATGCTCATGCACTTTATCAGGACCGAGTGTTCAGTAAGTTACAGACATGTGATGTTAGCATGTTTACACTTCATTCTCTGGTACTTCCCTCATGGGTGTGATATGCTTTTATTGCTCAAAAATCTTCGTGACAACCCATAATAGGACTGAATGTTATGTAGTCTTAACTGTGGGACTTGACATGTAGGTCAGCTAACTTGCTGACACTAACAGTGAAAGGTCTTACTCATCAAACTGCTAAATTACCTCTTTAAGTTCTATAAACAAGAATTTAGTAATTCCACAAATTGTAAATGCATTGTTTGGTTGTCAAAACATACAAGCCAGTAGGTTTCATGTGTATTTGTATAGGTAACACACACAAAAAAACATACCTATATTGGTTTTCCACAAATCTGAATATAGAAGGCAACAGTAAATGAAGCATCTTCCATTAAATCTTCTCTGTATGATATTACAAAATATCTTCAAGTTCCAAGCCATGAAGTATCAAAAAGTATTTGAAAAATGAGTCAGGGAACTGCTCCGTAAACATGCTTTGCAAGTGATGTTCTCGAATCACAATTAATCGAATTTCTAATCGCGATTACAATTACAGATGCCACAATTACATAATCGTTCAAAGCAGCAATTAATCGTTCAAAGTCCACTTATGTTATTCTGCATGCTTAAGATGCTTTTTTCTTTCTACATGTTATCTTAAGGGGGTTTCCGTTGTTTTCATTTTAGTTTTAGTATAACATTATAATACCATGCATATTTTTACCTTTTTATTTAAAGAAGAAACCAATCCAATGTATAGTTGACATTTGAGGCTTAATACTATAGAAAAGCAATAAAAGTTGTTCAGTTAGTGTTTTTGGCTTGTTTATTTTCATATAAAAATATGGCATGCAGTTGCTTCAAACAAAGGTGTAAACATCATTAATTTAATCGTAATATATAATTGCAATTACAATTTCAAAGGAATAATCGACAATTATGATTTTTGTCATAATCGTGCAGCCCTAATCACAATGGTGCAATATAAAACTATTGATTTACAATTTTTGATTATAGGGTAAAAACAGTACTATATCAAGTGTATTACATCTCTTAAGGAATATCAGCATAATTCCACTTCAGAATAATTAGAAATTACTTGTGTCTACAGAAACATCTATCAATGCTTAAATCACAATCTGGATGGTAGGTCTTTGTTGAAAAGTTTATATGTTATCATTAAAAAATTCATTGGAGGAAATAAATGGGATTTTTGCTTTTTTGTTTTTACTCTATGGTTGTTGATGTTTGTGTTGGTTAGCTCCTTGTATACTATATAGTATATAAAGTTTTTATTTATTTTTATTTTTTTTGTAGTGTAGAATTTGAAACGTACGGTTTCAAATATAAGGACTAGGTTCATATGAACTATTTATTGTACATGGCTAAAGTTTCTTCTAATTTGCAGGGGTTCGGAATGCCGCCGTGATTTGGAAATGTCTCTTATCGTCTGCCATGCTGGACTTGCTGAAGACCCCATATTGTGTTTCTTCTGTAAATATGAGACCGTTGTTAAATACAGTGCATGCATGTCTAAGTCTGCTGCCACCCTGAAGCTCAAGATGGATCTCCTCATGACTGTTTTAAGCCTGAGGGAGTGACCCTTTGGATATTTGAGCAATATGGAAGAAGACATGGCTGTACAATGGGATACAGTGGAACCGCCCATTGTTTCTCTGGCCAGTCCGTGTTATGGAAATGACAGCCATGTGTTATCGTCTCAAGCACCTGACTGTGAACATGAGGCGCTTGATGTGCTTGATTTTGATTGTGAATTCCCTGATGAAGACTTTGATTTGGAAGTAGACGAGAATGAAGAGCAAAATACCAAAACTGAAGATTTGAATGATGATCAGGTGCAAGATGGGATTTCCGAGAAGGACAAGGAGAAATGTGAAAGAGGGGGAAAAATTGAGTTAGAGAGTGAGTTTGGAGGCAATGGGGAGTCTAGATCCCGCAATGCTGGAACGGGTAGGAAAGGAAAGTCCAAAAAGAGTGGATCAGGGCAGGGGCCTTGCGATCAAACACCATCGTGGACATCTTCCATGTCTCATAAATCCTTCCTTGCATCCTCTGGGCCCAGCAGACACAAGCAGCTGAAGCGACGAAACCAGCATCTGCAAAATCACAGCCGCGTACGAAGGAAAAACGGGATCCAGCTGGTCCTGGTGTGTCGGGATTTCCTGGCAGATTTCATCAGCCCCTGGTGCATTTCCTGCATCCATATTGTTGTGGAGCTCATCATCTCTTTGACCCACCGCTGTGGGGTTGCTGTTGAATCCTCTGCACTTGCACTATATGACTTTGGAGCACACATGCTTTCCAAAGTCACAGATATTCCAGGCATGTCGCAAGATTTGAGGCGAATCCTGGACTGGAGCTGGTGTTCAAGTGTAGCTGTAATAGAAAGCATTGGCAGGTCTGCTCGTTGGGCTCGACATGCTCTACTTTCTTGTTGGAGATTTGTTTGTGCTGCACTAAGCGCTGGCTCTCAGATGTTGAGGTGTATTGTGGGAAGGCTGGCTGGAG